ATAAGCAGTAACCTTTTCAAAGAATGTTAAAAGATTTGTAAGGCAAGATTTTCCCTTAGTGAAACCATGTTGACCAATAAAATTCTGAATTTTATTAAATGACTTTGCAAAGCATCTTTTCACAGACTTTCCAAAATATTTCCTACAACTGATGTAAGACTAATGGGTCTATAATTACTGGGACAATTTTTATCACCTCCCTGGAAAGAGGAGTTACTTTAGCTAACTTCCAATCCTCTGGTACCTGCCCACTGTTCAAGGACTGACAAAAAATAGTAGCAAGTGGCTCACATATTCAATCTTTAACCTCTTTCAAAACCCTTGGTGAAACATTATCTGGCCCAGGAACCTTATCATTCTTTAAACTTCCCAATTTTTTTCTTAACCAGCTTGAAATTAATGCAGTCATCTTGTTTGATCTCGTTTCCATTTATCAACTGATCAAGATGTGGAATACTGCTTAAATCTTCATCAGTAAAAACCAAAGAAAAAGTCAAATTTAATAACCCAGAAATTTCATGATCATCAAATACTAGCCTTCCTTTATCATCCCTCAAGAGTCCTATCCCTATCCAGATATTTTGTTTCCCCTTAAGTATTTAAATAAATCCTTATTGTTAATTTTTACATTTTCAGCCAACTTTTTCTCGTACATCCTTTTTGATGTTCTAATTTCCTGTTTTACCAACTTTCTTGATTTTCTATAATCTTCTAAGTCTCCTGTCATACCGGTCAATTTAAATTTTTTATATTTATTATGCCTTTCTCTAATTTTATTTCTTAAACTCTTTGTGAGCCAACCTGGTTTTTTACTTGTAGCTACCCATTTCTTTTTATTAGGAATATGTTTACATTGAATATTTAATAATTTTTCACATCTGATTAGTCTCCAAATAACTCAGCTGCCCAATGTACAACAGATTACTCTTGTCACATCCCTTCAAAATTTGCTTTATTGAAATTTGTAACCAAAATATCATTAGTCCTTATCTCCATATGCAGCAAAACATTGAACCTAATATAGCAATGATCACTTGCACCTAGATGTTCTCCAATTTCCACCCCCTCAATCATTTCTGTATTTTAAGTTAACAATAAGTCTAAAATAGCATTATTTCTAGTTGGTTCCC